AATAATACTACTTTTATTTTATTTCATTTAAAAAAAATAGTGTGAATACAACTATTTCATACAACTCTCTAATAATTTCACATATAAGATCACTTCTCATAAATTAGTAAAATTGTAATTTACAAAAAATATTATTTCACATTGGGCATGTTTTGCCAAACAAACATTGGGCATGAGTTATTGTGCCTTGCGCGATCAATCGCAAGTACACACACACACACACATATATGGGAGAGTTCAAATCATAAGTGGTGTTCCCATGCAAAGTGCGAAATTGCATTTTTTATGTTTCACTTTCACTTTTTCGTGTTTCTGTTGCCCTTTTCGCCGTTGCGATTTTGACCAAATTCGGCCAAAACCATGGTGACAGTTTTGTAAATAAACAAATGTTTTTCGCTGCCACAAAAAAAGTGTAATGAAAGCAAGCAAAAGTGCAAGCGAAACATGAAAAAATGCAAATTTCGCACTTTGCACGGGAACACTATTTTTTATTTGAACTCACACACACACACACGCGCACTCCCTTAGTCCCTTCCGTCTCATACTGTTGGTCCCGTTTTAAGTAGGGAACAGTCTAGAGGGGGGTGAATAGACTGTTCAGATTTTTCAAACTTTTATATAAGTTTATACTGACTTATCAGAGATGGTCTGAATCTGGAGACAGAGAAGGTCGAGTTCTGATGTTAGAACTGGACCTGGCAGCGGATAAGAGTTCTGTCCGGGTAGCCTTGGGAAAATACTAAGGCAACTGCCTTTCTGTTAACTCTTAGACCAAGATCTGCTGAACATAGATTCCAAGTTCTTAAGAGTCTTACAGTTAAAATCCTAGGAGCAGGAATTACATGCTGAAATTAAATGACACTGGGTTTTTATAGTGGTTCAAGGAACAACTTGTTCCTCTAGTCCACTGTTCCACTAAGCTTGTAATAAACCAATTACAACACTTAAGTCCTAACACTTAAGAAGCTCTTCACGTCTTCTTCAAGTGTAGATGTCTCCTGGGATGCACTTCCTTGCTTCCTCTAAGACTGGTCTTGTTTCACTGAGTCTCCTTGAAGTATCACCAATTCACTACTCGAGCTACTTTAAGACGTCCTTCTTTGCAGAAGATGTTTTGTAGAAAAACATAGTTTTTCTCCAACTTGCTTCGTCACAAAAGATTTGTAAATGAAGTGCTTGAAGTTGTTGAAGAACTGAAGGAACTTGCTCTTGTTGGAGTAGAAAGATATGTGAGATTATGATCTTTCCAACGTAAGCTTATTCTTGTGTGATGGAGATGGAGTTTGAATCTCAAGAAAGCTTTTGAATGTTGAAGCGAGAGCAAAAGTTATCTTCGAAGTTCTTCAAAGTGTATCTTTTATACTGGAGTTGTCTTCCCGTTGGAGGAGGAGACAACTGCATTGAATGCGCGTACTGTAGAGTTGACTAGTTGGGCCCGCAAGATTGGAGTCTTGCTATTTTGGGATAGCCTTTCCAGGAATCTCGGTCAATCATCAGCTTTAAATATCTCATAGTACGAACAACATTAGTTAAGCATTTAATGCGTGAATAGTACCATGTTCAGCTGAGTGACTCCTAGCCGTTAGGGTATTTTCCGTTAGTTTTACGGCCGTTGGAAGTAGCCTGAAATCTTCTAAGTGCCCATCCTAGTCGGATAGGATTCTCTGATAGCAATTCTGAAGTCTGGATCTGATGGCAGCTCTGGTGTCGGACTCTAGTGCTTCTCTGAGGAGCAGCTCTGGTATCAGCTCTGAAGAGTAGCTCTGGTAGCAACTCTGATCAGAAAATCCAAGAGGGTCTTTGACCAGTCGACTATTCTAATACTTACAAAAAAAATACTAATACAAGATTTCTAAAGGGGGTATTCTAATATTCTAATTATCCTAGCATCATCAAAATCTAAATACATTTATTCCTTACACATACATTTCAATATGGACACCATTTGAGAAGCTGAAAATGCAATTTTCCCTATAATATATACTCTCTCCACCCCTCCATCTCATTTTACTTCTCCTACTTTCTTTTCGGTTGTCACTTTTTTTTGGAAAAAATATGTAATCTACAACATTTAACTTTATTATATTAGATTCTCAACTACAACTTTTATTTTTTCTACCATTATTAACAGTTTTCGCAAATCAAATGACACATAAAATGGAACAGATGTATTAATAAGTTACAAATTAAATATAGTGCAATAGAATATTATACTCCCTTCGTCCCTGAAAACTTTTTCATCTTTCCTTTTTGGAACGTCCCAAAAAACTGTCATTTTCTCTTTTAATCAATTATTTTGTGGTTTCTGTATTTCTCTCTCTCTGCGCAAACCTCAGCCACACAGTTTTTACTTTATTATTCTTTGTGCCGGTCAACTTTGGCAAAATTTTAAGGGACGGGAGTAGTATATAATTATACAATGTGCATCTAGTTGCCTAATTGTTGCCTAAGCGGGTGTCTTATCGCCTAGGCGGTGGATTGGTACCAAAACATGATTGGCACCAAGCCACCAAGCAGCTAAAAGAGAAGAAAAATGCTTACGGTACACATGGTATACACAAAGTGTATACCATATAAAAGGCCCAAAAATCTCATTTCCCTCTTCCCCTTCTCTCTCCATTCTCTCTTCTCCCCTCTCTTCTTCATCTTCCTCTTCCCTTCTTCACCCTCTTTTTCTCTACCTTTTTTTTTCATTATTTGCACAAAATCGGCATATTCATCTTATTTGATCTATTTTTAAAAAAAAAACTATTTTTTTTTCAAATTACATGTAAATTGATCACACATACAACTGCATCATTCATTTGGATATATATATATACATACATACATATATATATATATATATAGACAATTAAATTTCTTGTTCACCCAGAGAATTGCAATTGATCACACCGACAACTAAACTTGATCACACAGACAATAATTGTCTATGAGACGCACAACTATTATCCGTGTGGTAAATATTGTTTGTGCACACAGACAAATAATTGTTTGTGCAACATGAAAATATTGTTTGTGCACACGGGCACTGCATATTTATTGATTGATTTGCAAACTGGTGTCAGTGTCAGGCTCCCGTCAGTATATCTTTTACAAAAAAGTAAATTTTTGTGGACACAACAAAAGTTGTTTGTGTACACAGAGAACTCTTGGTTGTGCCTACAAACAACTCGTGTCTATGCCAACAAACAATTCCGTACCAATTGTTTGTGACCGACATTTTGTGTACAAATTGTGTACAACTCGTGTACCCCTAGCATTTCTGAAAAGAGAGACCGACTAACCTAGACCCACAAATGATCCCAAAGTTGAACAAGTATGATTCTAGTTTAAGATCTTATTATTTTTATTTTTATTAATAGCCTAAAAAGTCCAAAACACTAAATGGGGAGGGCAACCATTTACTAACTATGGTTGTGGCCTTCTGGGTAGACAGACGGTAGACCAATCTCCGGATATGAACCGGGTCAAGGCCAAAACCAGGCTGATTTTAGTACTAGTTCCAGTTCTTTTTATTTTAACTATTTTTGAAATCGCCTAAAAAGTCTAAAACACTAAATGGGGATAGCAACCAAGCCAATACCCGATTTACTAACTACGATTGTGGCATGTGGGTAGACTAATCTCCGGAACTGCACCAGATAAACGCCTTGAACAGTTGAACCAAATCAAACAAGACTTTCCGTATCCAGACCAGAACCAGGACAGTGACTACCCCATGTAGGGGTGGACCCGGCCCGGTCCGGATCCGGTTCGGGCCTAGGCCCGGCCGGGCTTGGATGGTTTTGGGTAAGGACCGGCCCGGGTGTCTACCGGTTCCGAGCCGACCCGATTCCGGATTAATTTTTTTGTGTTTTCCTATTTATTTCAACCCATCAACCCTCACCCCCAATCCTCCCCCCAAACCCATCGGAAACACCCAGGCACCCAGCCCATGTTGAAAGATGGAAGCTAATAAATGTGAATTAATATGCTTGTTGTATATTGATAAGTGCTTGAGTGTAGATGGATCAAAAGATTAGCATGTGGTTGATGAAGGAAGTAGGGAGAAGTATAAGAAAAATTAAGTAATGCTCTATAACATGAGGCATATATAGCTTAAAAAAACATCCTACGTGAGCAACATGCACAACTAGAAAATAGGACTAAAGAAATACGGAGTATTAACTAACACATAATTAAAAACTTGAAAACTCCAATGCATGCATGCATAAACGACCCATGAATTAGGGGTGGACCGGTTCCGGTTCGGGCCTGGTTCGGGCCTAGGCCCGGCCGGGCCTCGGTTCAGGAATGGGAGGCCCGGAACCGCCCCGGGTAATCCCGGGTCCAGGACGGGCCGAGCCTCGGTTCTATTTTTTTTTTTTTTGGCTTTTCCTAATTAACCCCCAACCCTCCCCCTCACCCCCAAACCACCCCAAACCACCTCAAATGGCCCAAAATACCCAGCCCAACCCAAAAACTTAAAAAAAAAATCAAAAAAATTAATAATTTGGCCCGAACCGGGCCCGAACCGGCCGGGCCGGTTCACCAATCCTAGGGCCCAAGCCCGAACCACATTCCTAGTGGGCCGGGCCGACCCGAACCGCCCCCTGGACCGGTTCCCGGGTCGGGCCGGTTTAAACAGTAACCGAGCCGGGCCAGTTCTGGGCCTGGCTGCCCGGCCCGAGTCCATCCCTACCATGAATGACCGACTAAAACCCAACAGCACAACCCACCTAAACCCAGCCCAAAACCCAAAAAAACAACAAAAAAAATGGCCCGAACCGGCCGGGCCGGTTCACCTTTTTCAAGCCCCGGTTACCCCCTCAGGCCGGGCCTAAGCCCGGAACCTGAACCGGAACTGGTTTCCCGGGCCGGGCCGGTCAGCCCGTACCAGGTCCATGCCTAACCCCATGGCCATATCCCCGTCTCTTCCTGTAGTCAAATCTCTCCTTTTATGTAGATGTGTGTCATCACAAACCCAAGTACCCAACTCACGCAGTTGCAACATGACATTATAGTACACTGTATCTAACTGCATTCATCTTGGATTTGAAAATGCAGTAACCAATTGACCCATATAGGATAAAATATGTTGACAAAGTAAGTGCTCATTAGGGCCAAAACTCACAAGTTGCAACAAAAGTATTACCAAAGCTTTTCATTTTTGTCATGAAATGAGCAAAAGTTGACAAAGCCTTTTTGCATGTACAAAGATTTGTGATGAGTTTCTACAACTTTTGAAAGAACTTGATCAGGCACAAAACATTGAATAATCCAACGGACACAACAGACAGCTAAAATGCCACCTAGTGACATGATTTTTGAGAAAGACTCATTTCAGCAATATAACTGCATGACAAACAAGCCTATGATATTTCTTTTCAACAGCAGCTGGACTCTTATGGTTGGCGCTTAGCACGAGATAAGGCAAGTAGGATTTTCTTTCTTGGTCCCTGCAATTCAGGAATTCTTTGTAAGAAAACAGCTAGCTACACAGGAAGATGAAAACCAAATTATGCTCCAAAATATGAACCAAGACATTGAAAGCATGTTTGTGGCACTTTAAAGTTGTTTTCAGAAGATAAGAGTGTTTGGAAGGATCAGCGCAAATCTATAATCAACTTAATTTTTCAAAAAAAAAATGCTTATTTGATTATAGAAGATAAGAGTGTCTGTAGATTACGATTATTTTTTAGCAACTTATTATTTCTTTCAACAAACCTCATACTCCTTGCCTTGTACACTTTGATTTTTTGTTTCACCCAAACACAATTAATGATAATCACACAACTTTTCAACAGAGTGAACAGACTTGCCAAAAGAAAATTTTATTCTAGTTATAGTCAATAGCAAGAATCAATTATAGACATTGTCCATTATTTGGTAATCCAGTTTTTTCAGCTATCTCAAACAAGCTCTGTAAGTATTGGGCATATTGCTTTTTGGTTGTAAATGAGACATTGAGACCTCAAGTCATCAAGTGTAAATGCCATTATATATTCAACCACAACATTCCAAGACAACAAGGAAGTCACGTATAAAAAATACTACAACAATTTTAGTTCGAATGTCATATTGTCATAAACACAAAAAATAACAAGATCGTGACTACCCCCAGCGGCCTTTCCCTCAAGTTAGGGTTTTTCTACTGCTAGCCGACTTAGGCGATGTGCGGACAGGGATCTCAGCACGCGAAGGCTTCAGTTTATCTAGATCAAAGCTCTTGCTGCTTAGTTCGACAATCGTGTAGGAAAAGTGCTATGGAGTCCATTGTCAACCAATACGACAAAATAGATATTGGAGGGGAGAAGGAAGAACTGGTATTCGAGGAAGCGATGCGGAGTTCTTGCATCGCTTCGTCCACAAGAAGGCAAAACAGGGTTTAGGATTACCACAAGTCAGCGGCAGTTGTGGGCGGCTAGTCTATTGTTTCGTCTAGAATGAATTCTCTTGCAGGAGCGGCATTAGGGAGAGGGAGAAAGAAGATCAAATGGTTGAAGGCATGGCCACAGATGAGCCAAAAAATGGGGAGGAGGCAGGCACTGGCAACCAGGCCTGCTTGGGTTTCTGAGGAGGTTGTACCCCCAAGGGTACATGGTTAGGTTTCTCGTGATTATGAGAGAACTTTATTTAAATTATTTTGCTCTTCTTTTCACCTTTTATTTTGAATTGGATGTTGTTTTGGTTGTGTTTTTGTTGCCTACTAGCAGAACTCTAGAATTTAGGTTGGGTGATGAAAGTTTTGTTTCATCCGTCATAGACTCAGTTCAGCCCATTATAGGATGGGCGAGTCATATTGCTTTCTTAGAGGTGATTGACTCTGAGTCTGGTTCGGGAGGGGACTTTTTGTCTTTTTGTATCTTACCTGAATTCTGATTATTCAATATAAGCCACCTTTTTCCAAAAAAACAATGTCATGAGTAAAACCAACCACAAAACTGCCAGGCAGTCCTAATTCAAAATCACAACGGTTTCAATGCATTAATTACTTTGGTAAAATAGCTCATTTAATACCGACAATAAACTAGAAGTAATAGATGAAAATTATACTACACATCTACACATGAACATTAGAGCTGCAAGTTGAATAAATCATACCAAAGAAACCCAGTAAGTCCCACTCAAATCTACGGTCTAGGGAGGGTGAAATGTACAGCCCATCAGCCCCCAAACGAAGGTAGTGATGTTTCCGTGAAGACCCTCATTAAGGAAAAATTATGATATTTGGGATAACTTGCAAGTTTTGAATTTGTTGAAGATTTTACTAAAATCTGAATGATGTCATGAAAAATGTGGAGACACAGGAATATCAGAGATGAGAACCAAAACGTACCATAGGTATACCCAACTCCTTAAGATCATTGTCACCCATCTGCCTCAATGCATGCATATCCACCTGCACATTACGAAGTTCAGGTCTGAAAGTGCAAATGTGTCTTCCAGCTTCCCCGAAAACAACTATAAACATTCAATTCTAGAATCTGAAAAGAAGCATATTTAATTTATGGGTTTAATGCACCAAAACTCCCCCTTGATTTATAAATTTGGTGCATTATCCCCCATGATTTAAAAAATGTGTCAACCCATCGTGTTATAATTATTCATGCGCCAAATCCCCTCCAAAAACAAATTTAATTGCCAATTAAATCGAAAACGATTAGCATTTTTGCATAATTTGGCTATCTTGACAAATTTCCTTGCATATTGCCATATTCAATCATAATATTAAGATAAGTAATTTTCAAATTGTTAAATTTGTTCTTGGAAGGGGTTTTGCGCATGAATAATTATAACAGAAGGGGGTTTGACGCATTTTTTAAATCACAGGGATCTAATGCACCGAATTTATATATCACTGGGGGTTTGGGTGCATTAAACCCTTAACCTACTTAATTGCTTAAATGAATATGCAGTCTACAAATTTTCTATAGTAAATATTGATTGATAAATCAAGCCAAGACCTACCTCCTCAGCTTTAAAATTTATAGCATATTTATCCAAACCCAATGAATGCAAGAATCCATCCACAGTAGGTATATCCTCGACCTGCACTTACATATAAGAGGATATGAGAAAAGTAATAATTCAACGCATTAAATTATGTTACTATGTACATTCCAAATGTTAGAGGCACTTTTTTTCAATGCATGATAGAGACCTTTAACTATTCAGAGATTACAGAAGCTAATATCAAGAAACAAGAGAAATCTTTATTGAAGGAGATGATGAACAGTAACAAGTACAAAGGCCGAAGCCCCCAAACTGAGCCGAAGCCCCCAAAGAAAGAGCAAACACTCGATCTTCCCAGTCCCAAGACTAAACAGTCCAAAAGCCTCCTTTATGCTTTCCTTCCCCTTTCTATTTATAGTATAAGCCCTCTTATTATTCTCTATAATAATAGGCCCAAAATAACAGGCCCACTAAACAGTATCTATTCTTCTAGTATTCATATTAGAATTATTATCTATTATTAATCTAATAGGTAGATTCCTATCAATACTCCCCCCCTAAACATCCACCTTGTCCTCAAGGTGGGTGATAGGAATCAGCCACAATCTTCTGCTTCCTCTTCCTCTTCCTTGTCCCTCTTCCTTCCCAATATCTAACTGGTTGATGGACTAGGGACTTCATTACAAGATCTTTTAAAATCACAGAACTTTCAGCAGCAGACAGTGAATCTTCATTTAGTTCAGTCACCTTCCCGCACTTGACATAGAAAATTATTTCTTCCCTTTTCTGCAGCTCCTCATGATTCTTATGTCCTGAGATTAAAACTGTACTGGATGCAAACTCCTCTATGTAGCTTTCAGCCTCTCCCTTTTTCAATTCTTTGCCTATCTCATTTGAGAATGAGGGCCTAAAAGGTTTTAGCCGGAAAGTAAGGATATACATTATTCCAGCTGCAGTTCTCCGAGTCAAATAACAGGAAAGCATATCTCCCATGTAAATGTTCCAATGTTGGTTTCCTTGCAGGTAGACAGATCCATCACCAGTAAACGACCTGGCCATTTTCCAACCCTGTTCTAATTTCACCTTTTCATTTTCTTCACTAGCTTTTAAACCTTCAATGGCCACAAGTATTGTCTTGTCTTCCTGAAGTTTATGACCTACGCCCTTAGTAGAATTTATGTTCATGCCTTGAACTTCTTTGCCAATGTGATGGCACACTGAAACCGAACACCATTTAGTGCATGAGAATTCCAATTCAACTCCTTCAACCCCAAGTGCATCAGTCATAATTCTGTGGGTCCCCATTCTGAGTCCAGCTTCACTTCCTTCTATCACCGTCATTTCCTTAATTGCTCCATTTGCCATAGTAATAAAGTATAGCAGCCAATTTCCCTTCTCATTAGTCACTGCAAGGTATTTCTGGTGCTTAACTTCGTTAATTAGAACAGTCTGCACAATAGGAAATCTATTTACACTCTTTGCAAGATCCTGGGACTGCACCAATATACACTTCTTGCGTTGATCAACATCATTAAATCTGAAACCATCAATCTTATTCACCCCTACACTCCCATCAGCTACAGGAAACACCTCCTTCCCTATATCAGATATAGTTGAGGTACTGAGAGGTTTAACCATTGAGTCTCCAGTACCAGGTGAATGAATACCTTCATGAAAGGGAATCAATTTTTCTAATTTATTGGCATCCACATGAAATCTTGGTTGAACCTCCACTGTCCATTTAATGGAAGGTTTACAAGTATCAATCCTTATCAGGTAAAGGCCTCGAAAAATAGGGATTGACTTCCCAGTTTGATTTATCTTGTCCTGAAGGTATTCATCAATTTGAAAGCCACGCTCAATCGACCACCTCATCTTGGTTTCCAATTCTGAATTAACGAGCTCAATCCTGGAGGGTTTGTTATGAGTGAGGAAACAAGTAATTTGTCCCGCTGCAGGTCCAAGGTCAAGTGACGATTCATTCTTGTGTTCCTTGTCGCCATAGGTATGCCTATCTGCCGTGGATGGCTGCGGCTGATTAATCAACTCCTGATGAGAATCTTTGGATTCAGATGGAGATTTCAAACTGGAGTCTTCTTCTGCTCTCGTAGAATCCAGAATACCAGAAGAAATTGGCGATTGCAACCAACCTTTGCTTTTCGAATTTATGCAGCGACGTACCTTCCTCGATCTTCCTCGCCGACGATGTTGCCGCAGCTTGGGCTCCCCCTTCTCCAGGTTTGAAGACTTTTCCCTCTCCACTTTTTCGCGCTTCTCTTTCTCCGTTTTTTTGCGTTTTTCTTTCTCCACATTTTTGCGCTTCTCTTTCACCACATTCTCGCGCTCAACCTTTTCTGCGAGTTTCCCCAATGTCCCGCACAGATCCTTTCGCGATTCTTTCTGCACCTTGGTGAGCGAACCAGAAGGAACATTTCGCGATTGCGACATATGAGAAGTTCGCGATTTGGACTGCAATTCCGTCTGCGACTTTCGCGACTCCTTCGGCGACTTGTGGAGCGACTGCGATGGTTTATCAGAACGCCGATTGTTTCTTTGCAAGCTTAATTTGCGCCTCTCTTCACAAATCCGTCTGGTCTCTTCGTTCATCTTCTCTAAATTGCGCTCCCAATTTTCCATCGTTCCTACAGGTAACAAGATCGTTTTTCTCTGATACCAATGATAGAGACCTTTAACTATTCAGAGATTACAGAAGCTAATATCAAGAAACAAGAGAAATCTTTATTGAAGGAGATGATGAACAGTAACAAGTACAAAGGCCGAAGCCCCCAAACTGAGCCGAAGCCCCCAAAGAAAGAGCAAACACTCGATCTTCCCAGTCCCAAGACTAAACAGTCCAAAAGCCTCCTTTATGCTTTCCTTCCCCTTTCTATTTATAGTATAAGCCCTCTTATTATTCTCTATAATAATAGGCCCAAAATAACAGGCCCACTAAACAGTATCTATTCTTCTAGTATTCATATTAGAATTATTATCTATTATTAATCTAATAGGTAGATTCCTATCAATGCAGTTGCAATAAGAAATAATGGATTTTTTCAAATCTGGTGTGCAGTTAAATCAATATTCGAAGTTTAAAAAAAGAGAGCAAGGGAAAAATAAAAAGTAAAATGTTAATGGGGAAAGTGAACATTATAAAGTGCGGATAAAGATAATACCAAATGAAATGGAACAAGTATATTTTAAGTTTCAATCATGTCATGCCATTATATATGTGATGTTACTTGAGAAATAATTGGTATACAATTATTCTCTGTGATGCTTCTTTATATGATAGAAACACCATAATAAATTGATTTAAGTGGTTCACACAATCAAAAGGTTAACTAAGTTGTGCAGAAATCAGTCTCTGGTTGATCATGGAAAGCTTTGACCAGTTAAACCAATGATACTTCAAGGTATCATCATCATCATCATTACCCCAGTGCCGCAAAGGCTCCCACCTACAGTGGGGTAAGGGGGGTCGGATGTACGCAGCCTTACCCCTGTGCTAAAGCACAGAGAGACTGTCTCCGGATGAACCATTGTGAAAATCGCGTCGAAAATTGCATGGATTGACTACTGCTTCATAACAAAGACGCGAAGACAGTTTAGTGAGTCATTTTGCTTTATTCCATCATACTCCCAAGCCAAAAATTAGTGAGTCTTTGGCTCCATTGCAATGATGGAAAGAATGATACTTCAAGGTATGATAAGAAGAATTCAGATCAAATTTTTAAGAAGACAGGTTTAAGAACTGGGACATCTTTTTATGAGGCAAAAGCCTAGATGAGCTATGAGGAGTAGCTCGAATCTCATATTCCTATGCCACAAAACTAACAAGTCATAATATTAAATACTGCTAAGCCACAACACAAGTTCTGAAACAATTATAAAAACACTGGCCCACAGCTGCAGAGGTAAGATCAAACTGCTGACCAATTATTTAAGTTGATTCATACTATGTTGTTTCTTCATGTTTCATACTGCTGTGACGCAAGATAAGCAAATCAAACAAGAGTACTATGTGGCCAATATACATACATTTCCACATTAAAATCTTGTATCCCTAAAATTCCAAAAAATAGCAATAGAAAAGAGAAGGTTGGAACTCATCTATTATCGCTATATGCAGCTTTTGAATGACAATTCAAAGCAAGGAAAAATGAAAGAAAAAGGTTCAGTAGATTTTACCACATATGTGCTTCTCTGAACTAGACTACCAGATTGAGGAATTGGTGCATGCAATGGCATTATTGTTCTAGCAGGTACAGGTGTGTTTGGCAAATATGTAGAACTCATAGGGCGGGAAAATTGAGACATATCTTTGCTAATGTGTGAGCCCAGTCTAGGGTCATCATATGCCCTTACTGTAGGTCTTCTCTGTAACTCATCCCCCCTCATTGGGGGTGAAACACCTCTAGAGCTTAAAATTCCTTCTGGTGATTTTCGCCTTAAGCGTTCCAAGGTCCAGGGTGAAAACGACCTTCTCGAGTCCACCGAAGGTAAAACATCCACATTTCTTGCAGAAGGAATTTGTCTCATAATGTCAGAACTCCGACTCTGAGGCATGTGATATCTAACATCCTCCGGATCTGAAACATGCTGTCTGTTATCCCTGGGATCTAAAACTAGGGATCGAGACTCCCTGCCGCTGTCAGGTATGTATTGTCTACCATCCCTACCCTCGAGCATATGCTGTCTACTATTCCAAGGGTCTGTGTAGTGACGCCTAGTCTCCTTTGACTCAGTTATATATGGCTGTGTATTGGTTGGTCTACTTGAAGATTGTGCGGACCTTGAAAGCACATCACGCAGGTCAACTCCTTTATGTTTTTCATTACTTTGCCTTCTGTTGTTCAGCACACTTTTCCGCATGATTTTGAACCGAAGGTCATCTCTATCAAGGCTTGTGTCTTCATTCACAATTAAATTGAAACAGCATTCAGAAATTGTAATTAGTACTAAGTATTGGTAAGCATTTGGACATCAAGTTTTATTACCATCAACACCACTATAAGTGCTACTGCTCCATCTGCTGCCATCTCCACGCTGACTGCCAAAGTTTATAAAAAGGTAATTTCATGCCTAGAGGATCGACAATTTACTAAATCAATACAAGAACTGAATTGGTTAACCCCTCTCCATTCACTTTTTGTATACACTTTTTTACCTATCAAGGAAATGGAATGCAGTTCAATTTTGTTGGAAACGTACAATAAAGCAATATTCATAAAAGTTATTTCAAACATGACTGCACATGAGTAAACTAACACAATGCCTAACAAAGTATTAGTCAAATGTTGATATTATACTTCTGAGCTTGAACATTAGATGCACTATGCACATCTGAACTAAAAAGTAATAGTCTTTTGATGGAACATACAGACCCATTCTTTGAATATAGATTAGTCTTTTAAATGTGATGTACCGTTTATTAGTGAGTTGCGAAGTTGAACCCACAACACCTCCTAGCCTATCTCTGACAGACCGTTTACTCCCAACTGCTGACCGAGAACCAGCAAAAGAAAAATCTGAAGGAGAAGCTGCCTTCTTTACCACCTGTCCAAAATGCGTCAAGTTGTGCCATTACAAATATATAAATCATCACTTTAAATCATACTATACAGTTATGAGTTATGCAAAAAAATCATCAATAATTTTAAAAATCACGCCCATGGGTAATATATAGCCCCAGCAAGACCAAATTAAAAAACAAACATTTGCCGAAGGACACTATTACTTCCGACTTCCCCCATTTCAGTTAATTTTTCTAAACCGAAGAAGTTAAATCTACCTGACCACTGCGACCCAAGGTTATCGTAACTCGTGATGATGGATGCTCCATTTGACCATTCGTAAACTCAAAAACCTTATATCACCGATCAAACGTACGAATGTTTCTGTGTACTATATAGGAGCGTCAAAATCACAAGACACCCGTTTAAATCGTCATGAAAGATGTGGTGTTAGTCTCCCGTGGTGGATGCTGTATACAGTTCATGAATCGCTCACCGCCGAAGAGAAATGTCCCTCGGAGTCCTCCCGAAGTCTGAATAGGGCAGGAAGAGCTGTGTGCTATTGTAGAGTGGGGTTAAATGGTGGAAGTGGCACGCGCGCAATTGGCAAGCCGACGAGAATGCTGGGGTTAGGTAATGCGCGGATTGGGCCATCATGAAATTAGTTGGGCTACTACTATTCCTTGAGAGGGGTTAGGAGGAAATAAAGAGCTCGTTTGGTAGCACGAAAATCGGTTGTTTTGGCTGATTCTGCTGAAACTTATGAAATTCTGATTGAAGTGGCTACATTGGCTGATTCTGCTGATTTAAAAAAAATGTTTTTAAAATAGGAAAAATTGATAGTAATAATCCCAACTATTAGCGGTCCGCCTATAATAATCCCAACTATCGATTATTTCAGAATAATCCCAACTTTACGGACCTTCCGCCAATAATGGTCCCTATAAATAAATTGTTGTGGTTTCTAAAGTGGATGAGAAGAGATATAACAAGTCATCCTTATAAATAGTCCCAAGTTTTAATTTTTACGCTTAATTTCTATTTAAAATTCACTTTTTATAGGAGGTAATATTTGGTCATGGACCATTATTGGTGGACGGTCCATATAGTTGGGATTATACAAAAATAATCAATAGTTGAAATTATTATCGGCGGACCGGCAATAGTTGGGAATATTATTTTCAATTTTTCCTTTAAAATATACTATCTCTGTCCAGGGATGGATTTGGGGGGGGGGGGGCTTGGTCTTTCAATTTTTTCTACTATATATGTAATATTTTCATAAAATTTTCATACTTTAATTAGATACATATCTTTTCGCCCCTCCCCCCCAAGGCCGGTCCTGGGGCATGGGCAAAGGGGCATGAGCCCAGGGCCCATTGCTCCCGTAGGGCGCATAAATTTTCCAATTATGTAAAATAAACTGCATCATTGAGTGCATAAATGAGAATAGACTGCATCATTTCTTTAGATTCATTAAGTGTTAGCGCATAAATGTTGATCTTTCCATTTACTTCTCTCATGTAATTCCATGATTCATTGATAATATTTTGCTAAAATTCTTTTGGTTCTCTCATGTGAGTGAAGGATTGAATTAAAATATTAAGAATTTAGAAACTTGCAGTTTGTTTTGATCTAGTGAAACCATGATTTGAAATATGAAGACGTTACTCCATAAACGATATAACTTCCACGTCTTTTTCTAATTCAAAATTCTATAATGCAAGTAACAATTGTACTACTTAATTTTACGTATAGTTTTTTTAATAAAAAATTATAAACATTCACATGTTGTCTGTAAGGCCCACATTATCTCTATTGTCCCGGGCCCATAAGATGTCAGGACCGGGCCTACGCCCCCCTTGTCTTTTAGTTTTCAAAATTAATATATAAGCTCACATGATGTAATACTTAATTGGAGATTTAAAAGAAGTAAAATCTAAAATAATTTAAATAATTTAAAAAGATAAAAAATAGAACAACTCTCATTGTTTAAGACTTAGTATACCTATTATATAAAAAATCTTAGTTTTGTGATGTTTAATTATCTTTATTAGATAATTAGTACTCGAATTTTGTAAAATATCAATGATATTAAATATCAGACATGATAGTTAAATAGCTTTTAGATCATTTAAAGTAAATTCAAAATATAAATGTTTGTTGACACAAAATTACACAATCAATTTTCTTCTTACTTTGTAAAAACAATTTGTTGCATAGATAATAAACTTGTAGTTTTGTCAAAAATATTACTAAAAAAAGTGACCTTTTTAAAAAATTCCAAAAATGAGACTAAAAATGAGTTAAGAGACTATTATACCCCTTATTTCACTCACTGATGCTACAGTAATGATACAGTGACCAAAAACCCAATAGTGACCAAAACCCGATGATGGAGTATATGGCCCAGGGACCCTCGGCCCACAGACTCCTACTACACTAACACAGGCCCAACAGGCCCAGGAAGCACAAGAGGTCCAAAGAACAGCGGCCCGAGGGTCAAGAAGCCCACGGTGCACAAACGGGTTCTTTATTTCCGCCTAACCCCTCAGGCTGAAGTCGGTGCTGAGGAAGCTTCGCCGGTGCTACCAGAACTCTAGCGAGCCGCTCCTAGTTGTTTTTTGCTCTGCCGACGGGTCCACCGGAGGAAGGCGTCGGTCTCCACCTGAGGAAGCTTCGCCGCCGCTGGTACTGTGTGAGGGCCTCCCCATTGCTATCCTCACTGTTGGGCTCCTCCCATGGACAAGTTACAGCAGCGGCTATGCGCTGCTTTGAAGTCGTGGTCGTCGCAGGCAAGGCTGCCCGGTTGCAAAATGAGAAAGCAGACAAGGACTAACTCAAAATTATTTGTGGGGGCTGTGTAATAAGGGATTAAGGACCCAATCTGTACAAAGGTCCGATTTTTTCTTCAGACCACAATTTCAACCCACTTCAAACAAGATAAGTAGTCTTTAATTTACATATTATTCATATATTTATTTGAATCATTGTTTATGTCGGGTGAATGTCACACTATCATGCACTTATGATCAAATGCCTGGTAGAGTGTGGCTTGAGACCCATCACTAGAATTTAAAGCCCTGACCCAGATCAGGCACAAAGCCCCGACCAAGTCAGGCACGAAGACAAAGCCCCGACCAAGTCGGGCACGAAGACCGGTCTTAGTCATTCCTCGAGTGGCGACTATTGCTTGCGAATGGCTCACACATCCATTCTACTAAGTATTTTATCATTACATTAACAATTCACATCTCTACTTGTTTCAAGTGACGAACTCCCAATCGGAAACATAAATCCCAAGAAAAAAATCATATGTATGTTAAATGTGTGGGTACGAAGATGACTTTACTCATTTTCACCTCGTCTCCACTCACCTCAAAGAGTGGGGGACTGGGGGACTGAGGGGTCAGAGTTTCAAGAGGAGCAGAAAATATCACGCATGAGCAGGAACGAAAGCTGAGTCGGATTAAGAGGAGTTGAGCTAGATGGATTATGCCGGAGGGGACTTACCTTCCTTGTTTCATGTTGGGGGCGCTAGGTGTACTCTTTTTCCTTTTATTATGATTTTTTCCCACTGGGTTTTTTCCTAGTAAAGGTTTTTAACGAGGTACCTCCCCATCATGGACAAGGGTGGTGGTCCCCCGGCCGAAGAGGAAGAAACCAAATACAGAAGAACATTGCAGCTACAGTTTGGACTACTCCCTTTAACCTCGATTACTCTCGGCTCAGGGAGTGGGGGACTCCTGAGTCCTAATGGAGTATATGGACTCCGACCCCCCGGCCTGCCGACTATTGGGCCTGGACAGCGGCCCACACACGTTTAGCGGATTCTTATTATTGTACATTACTATTATTCAGATGTTTTAGATTAGCTTTTTATACTATCAGTCTATTTATGTAACCGGGTCTGTCAGGCCCATATTAGAGGCCCAGACCCTTGAGGATAATCACGTAGCCCTCGGCGAAACCAACAGGGTTGAGGCCTCCAACCGTATTCCCGAGGGCGGCACCATCGCCGAGATGGAACAGGCCGCTGCGGACCTCCGTCAGCACATCCAGAAGGCTTCCCCCGATGCCCGTATCGGCCTTGATAACCGAAGGAAGGATCGGAGTGAGAACCAAGTTCCTCCTCCGGCTCCAACCATTGACCTTCAGGCCGCTTTCGCGGTACACAAGCTGAGCATGCGGTATAATGTGTTGGTAATGTGCCTAAACATTCAATCAGGGAGTTTCTAAATGAAAAAAAAAAGATGATATGAGCGCAAAGTCAATAACAAATAGTTTTTGACATTATGTGCAAGAAGATGGTAGTTTCTCACAGATGAACAAGCGACACAAGAAACCATGCAATAGTGTACTGCATCACATCAGGAATATGAAAAGCAGGAGCACAGGACATCCTGTGAATGTGCAAATACTTTTTAAAATATGAAAGGCATAGATGCATACGGGGCAGGTGGATTATGTGCAATGTTGAACCAACCGAGAAATATACAAATGCTTTAGAAGTTATTTTGATGAATATTCATCTGTTGGTGTCTCTCATCACTTATGGAAACACAAATACTCTTTTACAATCATTTTACCCATGAACTTTTAGTTTTAAAATATGCACACGGAAAATGAAAATAATTAGTACACATGCACAAGCCGCAAACTGTTGATAGAAGGTAGTAGACAGGTTTGATATTGCACGATATCTCAAAGTTTGTTCTCCAATTCAGTGGCACTTCTGAACTACACGGGGAAGATAGTGTGATAACCCCAAGCTCTCAAGAACTAGTGATACGCCGACCCTGTATAACAACTGTAGCGGCCAGCGCGGGTGCGAGTCACCAGAGCAACCTCTATCTTCTGGCCATGAGTTGTGTGTAAGAAATACCTGAATGTGTCCTCGCCTGCATTATCCATCACACTATCAATAATAATCCAAATAGGATTCACCATGGTTATGGTTGATAGTAGAACCACTAACAAAGACGACAAAAAATGCTCCTGAAATAAAGCATTAGAGTTAAGCGGGCTATGAATAACGATTAAGGGATTGCATTTAGAATTACCCTTTTCACAAAGTTAAGCAGAAAAAAGTTTTAAAAATATTTGGGACTTACGAAGTACAATACCACAAGTCCCAGACATTTTAAAATACATGTTGTGTGCTCATTAAAGTGGGCATACGTCCAGAATGGGAGAAAATGGGGGTCGAAACGAAAACAAACAGGAGTTCCGTTGACACTAAAAATTCTAATTTAAAACAATCTTGTAGAAAATTGGTTCCCTCCTCAACCTAAATTTTATTATTGCTGAATAATTAATATTTAATAAATACATAATATACTATCTATTACATAATTAAATTAAATCAAAATTATTAATTATAATATATTCACTCAATCCCGAAATGATTTATAAAGTTAATTTTTCTTGGTCATCAGAGTATCACTTTGATTACTCATTTAACACATCAATCTTTAATTCTAATTTGAGTCTTGTGACCTTATAGAACATTACATGTAATTTTTGCATCAGTGAATTTCAATTATTAAAATTGATTTTTGTCTCCAGGGATGATTTTACTTTATCTTTTTTAAATTGTAAACCTTTAACACATACTCCTTTCTCTTATTTTTTGCTATTGCTCATGCCTCATGCATGCCTTCTACCCTCACTAACTAATCCACAAAAGAATCTAACAAAGTCCAAAGGACTGTGTTGGACCACTGGATCACGAGGACTTAACTCAACAATATATATATTTTAGCACAGTTTTTTTTTATATAATTTCTTTAATTGACTTCCTGATTGGATTTTATACTGAATTTTTGTGCACATAATTTACACTTCATTTAGAATATGTTCAAAAATAATTCATCAAAAAACTCCCCTAGAAACCACCTCAAATCGCGGCGGCCATTAAGTCCTGACCGGAAGATCACTCTATATATAGGAGTATTTTTTTTATGAAAATGACCACGTACAAAATTGGTGCTCTAGATACTTGCCAAGGAAGTGTTAAAAAATAAGTACTTTAGCGTATTACATATAAGTGAATAAAATATTAAGATACATGATTTATTAGAAATCTTTCATTAAATATTACTCGAGTTTCCTAAAATATTAAGATACATGTTTCCCTAAAAAAATATATATTACATCGTAGTACTAATAAAAAATATATGGACGGGAATGTGACTATAAATTACTATGAGTAAGTTTTATAATCACTACAATGTAGTACATGAACATTATTATAATAACTAAAGTTACTAGTCATACTTTTGTCTCCTGGTGTTATTTTGGTTATATATTTGAAATTATTTTGTTTTATTATACTTCATCTGTTCCACTAACAATGAGATAAGAGGGAATGCCACACAAATCAATAAAAAGTTGTGTGTGTGGTTAATATTGAATTGAAAAAGTAAAAATGATTTAGAACCATATAAACTTTACCAAATTTGGTATGAGACAATCTTTGTGGGACGGACCGAAAAGGTAAAATGGAACAATCTTAACAGGACGGAGGGAGTAACGTTTATGACTTGTCTTATGGCATTAGCTACACTCTCAATGCAGAACATAAAATACAACTCACATATCAAATAAATTTATAATACATGTACATTTATATCAATTTCAACTCGAAATTTTAAAAAAGGGAAAAGGGGCAAATAAGCCCTCGAACTAACCAAAAAAGTGCAAATAAGCCCTTATATATGAGGTTCTGTCCGGCCATCATCATTTGAGGAGGTTCCCGGTGGAATTTTTTGATGAATTTTTTTATATCATATTCTCCATTAAGTCTAGTTTAGGCATACCAAATTTCAGCTAAAAACTCAACTGGGAAGGCATTCAAATGATTTTCTGAAATATACTGCGTTGTTTAAATGCACAGTTATCTTCAACAATTCATTTGAATGCCTTCCCGATTGAGTTTTTAGCTGAAATTTGGTATGACTAAACTAGACTTAATGAAGAAGATGCTCAAAAAATTTCATCAAGAAATTCTATCGGGAACCTCTCCAAATGGTCCGGATAGAACCTCCTATATGAGAGCTTATTTGCACTTTTTTTGTTAGTTCAATGGCTTATTTGACTCTTTTCCTTTTTAAAAACAACTCACATGTAAAAAAAACAAGTTTTAAATTTGTTGAAATCAAAGAATTGAAATAAATCCAGGGCACCGGTACTGTTAAAAATACTAGTAATAAACAATAAATAAACATACAAATGGCAACCAGAGGGTGGAAAGTAAATAGAGTGTGTGGGCCCCACTTGAATCGTCGCCACGCCGAAACGCGTTGGCCGGAGCTTGAAAAGTGGGATTTGACCCGTAGAGTTCCTGGATCCCCTGGATATCATCTCCGGCAAGCTCCACTCTCCGGGTTCCCGTCGCGAGTGTCGGATACATGATTGCGTCCTCCACCGACGAGTGACCCAATCCCAACATATGCCCGATTTCGTGAACCGCGACCGACTCCAGATCCACCGACGCCGGCACGTTGAGGGAGTCGCCGTCGAGTACCCAGTTTTCGTCGCCGTCCATGTGGAGGTGGCCGGATGGTGGAGAGAACGCGTGCGCCAACGTCCCCATCGACTCGTCGAATGCTTCGCCGTCTCCGTGGTCCCCGACGTAGAAACCGATCCGGATGTCCGCCGATGGGTACGTGGCGGTGTGCGTGAAGTTGAGAGGGATCACCGCCGACCACCTGGCGAAGGCACGCGCGAAGACGCTCTTGACGGCGTCGGTCAACTGATTCCCCGGCAAGAAGGCGTAAGTCAGGTGGGTGCTGGCCGGGGGCCACCGCGGGCGGCCCTGGAAGAAGGAGTAATGGCGCAGCGCGTGTATGGCAGATCCGCGGGAAGCCATGGTGGAGGTGGCGTTGATGATGTCGGGGTTCCCGCATCTGGGGCGCATCATGTGCTGGATAGTGGGCGCGTCGAGGTCGCCGGTGGCGTTGAGATTGAAGTTGAGCTGGTAGGTCTTGACAGCCGACTGGAGCACGGCGTCGAAGTCGTCGGTGAAGTTGGAGGCGGCGGGGATGTAGCCAAAGTAATGGAAGTACTTCTTGAGCCTGGCTAAGCCGGGGGCGTGTTCCCCGACATGGCAGCCGAGGTACGTATTGAAAACATCCCAGCCGGCGGTGCGCGGCGGGGAGGTGGTAACATTAGGAATGAAATGGGCATGCAAGTGTGCGGCCAAGCTGAATACAAGGAATGAGGAGGCAATGCGGCCCTTCACCATCATCACACGGATCGGCGGACGTACGGAGTATTGAATGAATGCAAATTTTTACGGAGTATTATAGAACTGATCGAAACGGATATACGCACGTACCGGCCTGGAGTATCTTTCTATGAATAAATAACACTTGAATGAATGATGAATGAATAAAAGTCAATAATTGAATGGCGCGTTTCAATTCGGTCCTTTCTTGACCACTTTATCATCTCCGGCCAATTCAAGTGCGACTGCTTCGCTTTCAAGCTCTACATACACACACAGATAACATGTGGTATAGAGCAGCAAGCAGAATCAACGCCTTTCGCCTGCCCATACAACTGCAAGTTTGGATCTTCATTTTGTGGGACAGACAACTCATCTCGCGACAGACAATTTGTCTGTGGGGGACAGACGAGTGTACACTTTTTGTGTACAAAAAGTGTGTACCCCTAGCAGGCCTCAAATATATATACCATCCAAGCAAAAGTTACAAAATTTAAAGCTTCCCCCCACCCCCTCCTGTTACAACGTATAAGAGAGGGTTGTAAGAAGCTTTTACAATCACACACAAATCGCACAAAGAGGCTAATACGCTAAAAGTCGTGGCCCAAAAAAACTCAAAAAGAACCTAGAGGTGCTGCAAGCTGCACGCACTCAAAACTTTACACGGGATACCCCGATCGAACTTGTCCCAATCAAAACGGGAAAATTACATTGACCAGGTACCACGTACGTGGCAGGGAGTACCTATTTTGATTTAGTAGATTCTATGGTACCCATAAAGTACCATACCTTTGTCCAAATGGACAAATGAAAATGTAGCAGTTGAATTATTTAAATCTAAATTAAAAATAATAAAGTGATGTGGTCCAATCAAATGAATGATAGGTACGGTACCCCATTTTTTAGAAGGGTACCGGAGTTGTCACCTTTTGTTTTTGCGGGTAACAGAGCAGTTACATTTCTATACATGTCCATCCCATACCCACTCACCCAGTTTATTTTTATTTATATTTTTTATTACATTTTTATCTGGTATTTGTCCCACAACTACTAAAAGATGATATTTTTCTATTTCCATTCTATATATATGGATAATAGGCGTATTAATCTAGTGTATGAATGAAAATTCATAATATAATTAATGGTCTTGTTTAATTATTAATTATTATCCGTTTTTTTCGTGATCAATTATTTCTCATATTAAATATTTTGATTCAAATTAAATTAGGTTATCTTCTTTCTCGCCTTGTAGATATATGAAACTTTAAAGTGGCGTCTAAGTATAGATTCGTCTAGGCGATGCCATTTTTCGCATTTTGAAATATTGTTTTTATATTAAAATATCAATGACTCGTTTAATAAAGCGATTACCCACGGTTACCCGTAGTTATATCCGTTACCCATTGGGACGGTTATGATCTGAGTAAAGACTACTCATTGGGTAATGGGGCGGTTACGGGTTGGGTGATTATCCAACGGGGCGGGTACAATTATATGTAAAACCGTTCTTGATCCGCCCCGTTGTCATCCCTAGTGCATGTATGAGTTTAAGACCGGCCAAGGGCTTCATGACTTTCAATTTAATGAATAGAAATTACTTCAAATAGGACTAAAACTATGACAAAAACTCAAAATAGGACTTGCTATGTTTTTATTCCAAAATAAGACCATATTGGTCCTATTGGAAACATACCTATTTCTTCATTCCATTCTTACCCCTCCTTTAAATATGAGTAAAAGATAGTCAAAAGTCATAATTAAATGTTTAATTCATAATAAATTTGAAAAAAAAATCAAAAATTCGTAGAAAAATAATTAAAAAATTAATAATTTTTTTTTATAAAATAAAAAATCATTTTTTTAATTTTTTTAAAATTAATAAAAAATAGTAAAAATCCATAAAAAAAAAATTAAAAAATATGGGTGTCTTTCCCACCGCCTGTACTACCTCCCTGCACCACCACCTCCGATTGGTGTAAAATGTCATTTTTTCTGAAAATGCCAAAAACATGGCATATTACTCTTTGAGAATGTCAACAATTTCGTTATGCCAACTTGAATCATTCTGACTTCTGCCAAAAATATCACATTCGTAATGAATTTGACATTTCCCCCGGTGACATGAGGTGGTTGTACTGCCTCCCTGCACCACCACCTCCGGCCGTTAAAAAAAGGCCATATTTACTAAAAACTATCATTTTTTCCTGAAAATGCAAAAAAAATGACATATTTCTCTTTGAGAATGCCAACATTTTCATTCTGCCAACTTGAATCATTCTGACTTCTGCCAAAAATATGGCGTTCCTAATGAATTTGGCATTTTTCCCCCAGATGACTGGAGGTGGGGGTGGTGGTGGTGCGGCGGCAGAGGCGACAATTTTTCTTTTGCATTTTTTATTTTTTTTAATTTTTTTTAAATTTTTTAGAAAAAGTTTTTTAATTTTATTATTATTTAAATATTTTTTATTTTTTTTAGTATTTTTTAAGAATTTTTATTATTTTATTATGAATTAAAACAGTTCAATAGCTATAAGGGTATATATGTCCAAGACACACATAATTAGTCCTATGAAAACATAGTTTATTTTTTTGTCCTATTTGTGCAAAGTGAGTGACTTTTAGTCCTATTTTGACAATTAACCCTTTAATGAACCTTTTCTTTTGACTAGAAAAAAACTTATATTAAGATAATAAATAAATAAAAGGTTCACACCCCGGCCAACATCCAAGTCTCCCACTACCCAAGAGTTCACCTCAGACAATCTATAGCCAAAAGGCTTTCTCACTCTCTGATCAGATCAGACGTAGAATAGACTGCCCTACTCGTTGAACATGTGAGAGATTCAAAGCTGGAATCTGTTGGGTGTGTTTCGGAAAATAAAGAAAATTAATTAATATAAATCAATTAAATAAATGACTTAAGAAAAACAAGAAATGAGATGGAGCAGAATTTAGCCAAAACTCGTGCTACGCACAATGTCCTTAAAACGTATCTGCTGCCTCCCGGGGTGCTAGGAGCGTTGCAACGATAGTTTCCCAGGATACGATGACTACGAACAATTGTTTGAGCACTCAAACGAATTGTTCCGGCGAACGAGAACAAGTATGAACACAGAAGGAATTTTCAGAATGCTAGTAGTGTTTTTCGAGAGCTCAAAAGTACGTGAGTTCGTGTGTGAATGTGTATGTTGCAAACCACATGCTAGCCAATTTATAAGAGGATTTGTGGGGTGTTAATTGACCTTTAATGGACCCGAACGTTGGACATAAATGACCAACATGTTGGGCATTAATATGTCGTAAAACTGTCCATTAGGACCCCTAGGCCTTCTGTCAGAGCCTCGTAGCAGAAGACCCCAGGCCTTCTGTCCGTGTTCGAGCAGTTCTGTTGCGCGGAAGACGTGCTCTGTCCGAGCAGCAGTTCTGGGAAAAAATAAAACGTTACGGGAAGAAACAAAAACTAGATCGTATCTGTCAAAGATACGATTTTTGGACGACATTCGTGTCCGCAAGTCGCCCGCAAGTCGTGATTTTTCTTCTCCGTTTCGGGATTTGATTTGCACCCCCCCTGCGCGCGAGAGAGAGCCTTTCCACTTAGGAATCTTAACTCCTTAAAAAAGGCATTCCTTTATAAGGGATTGCAAATCCCTTGGGTTTTCCGGTGTGGGAAATAACACATTAGAAACTCATCTTTTTCCCAGCTTTTCCATTCTAACGGGTAAACTTCGAGAATCAATTTCTCATTCACCCGTTATCCATTTTGAGTGTACCACATATCGAATTGTAGCCCTTAACAAATCAGGAGTGGATCCCACTCAAAAAATTGCCCCAAAATTACCATTTAATGCAATTTTAACACATTTTCCAACAGAATCGGCTACCAAAGCCTGCATGTCCCAAGACAAAAACACAAAACAAAAAATAGTGTATTGAGAATTGAAAATAAAACTGATGAAACTAAGTGCTAGAAAATAACAGGGAGTTTTCGAGTCATTCCCTCCCTGGTTAGTCTGCAAATATCTCAATCGTGTGTTGGGGGGGGGGGACATGTAGTCCGCCTCCTACTCGTTTTTTGTTATCCTTGCTCTACTTTCATATCCTAAGCTTTATCCTCATCCCCTCCACCTGCTATACGTTTGCGTTTCTAGTCTTTTTTGTCACTGGTTGGCTTTGATCCACCTCCTGCCATCCAACCTTGTCTACCCCTGGATTGTTTCACAGTCCATATAAAAAATCCTTGCCTCATGTTCCTTCCATTGTCTGCCCCCAGCTGGAACTAGCCATTTGCTACCTTCGCTATGAACCCTCTCCCTTTGTGACCCCGAGCCAAGGTCCAAATAGCCTATCGCTCCCCTCCAAATTGCTTCGCGACTTACGGGGACAAGATTTCTCTGCATGCCCGTGTTGGAAGAAATTAATTTATGAGGATTATGATTGGGTGGTTGTGTGTGGAAGAGAGAATTTTAGAGAGAGTTGATTTTGGGAGAACTTGGAACTTTTATTGATTTAGAGCTTTTGGCTTGTGTTACAAATGAAGAAGTGCTCTATTTATAGGTCTCATAGGATCCTTCTAGGCACTCCTATATCCTAAGCATTCTACAATGTTCTATTGGATTCTAGCTTAGGAATATTCTAGAATTATTTAGGCACATAATTAACTAAAGAGTACTTTAGACCTTTATTTACTAAGTCTAACTTATGAGATAACTAATTTATCATCTGTCATACAACTACTAGCCCAATAAGTTAACTTCTAATGTACCCAATTACTGGGCTAAGCCAAGTTTAATTTCTAACATTCCCTCTTAAACTTGACTTAGCAACACCAAGTAGATTCCGCATCTTTGCAAAGACATCATGCTTGAGTAGCTTTGT